CCTCCCGCCTCTTTGCCCATTTTCGATTATCCGGGAGTGACGCGTGGTGATGCGCTGCCAAGATGGTGATGGCCCGCTCCGCCCACTTTGAGCTTCAAAAACGCTCTTCGAAAATCTACGGGTGACGTCACGGACACTACGTCCATGTTTTTATACAGTCTATGGTTATAATATATGATTTAGGTACGCAACATTGCACGACCAAATGATTCAACATGATTGCAATGTGATTTTTTTCAATAGTAGTTCAATAAACAAGAAGTTAAAATTAAGCGGCTTACATTTTAGACAAAATATTGACTGTTTTTGATCAATTTCGCTGATAAAAATAGTTCCAATCAAAGCCACAGCAGAACTGTTTTGTGTCTCCGAGCAACACAGTGGTGTTTCTTTACTTAATGAATCCACGTTTTTGAACGAATCAAGTGAGTCAATGATTCAGTAACCCATTCATAAAGACAGTAGCCACTTGCCTCGTTTCTGAATGAATCAGCAGTTTGAACAAATCTGTTGAATAAATGACAGACGGTGCGTTCCAAACGGGATATATCGCCCTCCGAAGGGCACTTCAGAGTGAAAACAATCTTGGCCGCCATATTGAAGGGTCGTTCCAAACCGAAGTGCTCAAAACTGGCCACTACAAAGGGCTCTTCGGAATGAAGGATTTCGAAGGGTACAACTGATGGACACTTCGGGCTCCCATGATCCTTTGCGCAGATTCTTTGCATGATGACCGTGCCTCCGTGTGGGCATGTGATGATGACGCAGAAGGTAACTTCAAGAAACAGTTGTTTGGTCCTCTACCCTTCAACCCTTCGAAGCTCTCACTCCGAAGGGTAAACCCTTTGAAGGGATTAGGGCTTAGGGATGAGCCCTTCCGAATGGAATGCAGGGTAAATGACTCATTTATTCAAACAGTCATTTGCCGCCACCTACTGGTTTGGTTTCATATTTAAAACTATCATTGCATTTTTCCCAACATTAATTATTTGTATATTTAAAAAATATTTAAAACATTAATCTTGTAAAATTCTTCATGCATTCGAAATTTTGCAGTGTAAATACATTTATGGCACCTCAGCTTCATCAAACAGTCTCTGTAAATGCATCTAATGCCACTTCAGATATAGCTTCTGTGTTTCCTGCAGTGGAAAGATGAAGTTTGTTGATACTGATTTCAATTGAATGGTAACAACTCTACAGTTTCTTATTATTATCTAACTGAATTACTTGAAGCAATGTAAGAATTTGATGTGAAAGATGACGCATTTAACAAGGTTAGTGAAAAAATGACAATTTTAGAAGCATATGGGAAATTACATCTGTTTTGTTATATACAGCAACTTTTCAGTTAATTGTTATTCCTACCTCTTTTCTAGTCACAGAGCACTTTATTGAGAGTTGTTTAAGTGAGAGAACGTCTGTAACTTTGTCCAGATTGGGGGTATTGTAATGTTTAATATTTTTTATGTAAATAATTTTTGCATTAAAAAAATATAGATTTTTGTTTGTATATTCTGTCAATTATAGTTTTCAGAAAGAAAATTGGAATCAGCAAAAAAATCAGCAGGTCACACTTACAAAAAAATCAGAAATCGGAATTGGCTAAGAAAATTGCAACCGGTGGATCGCTATACTCCATTATTTTTTATGTATTTACACACTCGTGCCGTCGAACTGTTGTATAAACGCAATATTACACTCGTAGACATGAGAAATTGCTGTATATCGGCACGCTGTGATTACCTACGTACGGCCGAATCACAGCCGTGCCGATATACAGCCATATCTTACGTCTACTCGTGATATTGCTCATATATATAGCCTATCATGTCCCTGTTACACTTAATGTTGTCACATCTTCCTGGTTAAATAAACATCACTGTTTAGGCGTGGTTAACTCTTAACTTTTATAAAGAATATCTCTTTGGATTTGAGACTTTAGTCTTTGCAACTTTACAGATCTTCTTTATGCACCAAGAGCTTGTAACACTTCAAAGAGAAAGGAAAAATTGAAATCACATCATATGACCCCTTTAAGGACTGCTTGGTTTGAGTTGGGCAGGTCATTCCACCAGGAGGGAACAGTTAATGTAGAAGTCCATGAAAGTTTTATGATAGGTAGAATGCAAAATGCTTCAATACAAGCATTTCAGTCAAATGTAATTTATGCAATATTTCAAACCTTGTACCCACTTGGGAAAATCGTCTCAGGTTACGTATGTAACCATGGTTCCTCGAGGGAACGAGACGCTGCGTCGGAGGACGCTAAGGGAACACCCTTCAGCATGACCGGCTCTGAACCTCGTGTGTAATCAGACCAATAGATGGGCGAGACGTCACAGGCGGGTGACGTAATGACCAGGAAGCTATAAAAGCACGTGCGGTGAGACCAGCGTCAGCTTCCAGGAATGAAGCAAGCGCTGGCAGAGATGCCGAAAGTATGGCCCCGAGACGCAGCATCTCGTTCCCTCAAGGCCTGGTCATTACGTCACCCGCCCGTGACGTCTCGCCCATCTATTGGTCTGATTACACACGAGGTTCAGAGCCGGTCATGCTGAAGGGCGTTCCCTTAGCGTCCTCCGACGCAGCTCGAGTTCCTGAAGAGGAACAACCCATGGCAACGGTTTATAAGTAGCCCAATTCTGTGGAAAAAACGCGGACTTGGCAACCCTACATTCAAGAAGAGCTGCCGGAGTCAGATTTGACTGATCTCAGGTCCAGAATAAGGAGAGATGACTGACAAGACCATGCCAGAGTATTTGCTGCTCAACAGATCCTGAGCTCACTGACAAATATCGAGGCGAAGGGAGATCAGAGGACTCATAAGAAATAGAAATAGCATCTGTTATCCACCGACTGAGGGTCTGTTTCGTAGCAGGAAGACCTCTCTTAGGGGTACCATAGCATACGAGCAGTTGGTCCGCCCTTCTTCACAAGGCAGCTCTGTGGACGTATGCGTCCAATGCTCGCACTGGAGTATTTGCTGCTCAACAGATCCTGAGCTCACTGACAAATATCTGATCTTGTAAGATGCTCCCTTTACACAGAGTGAGTGTGATCGCGAAATCGAAAGTGAAAGTGAACAGCGTGAACGCTCATTCAAAAGAGATTAAAATACACCGCACACAGAGAGCTGCTCCCTGATGCGCCAAAATTATACACACTATTAGAATGTAAAAGGAGTGGACACGAAAATCGCGGTGCGAAACATGTTGCGGGAGCAGGCGGCAATGGTCAGAGATTCAGCGGGAGCGAGATTAAGAAAACAACCAAATCCCGGACATTTTGGGCGATTAAGAAATCAAGGCCGGATGCATATTTATAGGTCCAAAAAGAGGACATGTCCGGCGAAAAGAGGACGTATGGTCACCCTAACTGTCTGCCACCCTTACCTCCTCGGAGGAAACGCCTCTGATATATAACATATTAACTTTTTTTCACAACATAACATAGCCTCTCATATGTCATTGCTTAAATACATACCTCATCTTACATTTTTTCTTGCCCTTTCAGCTGCAGCTGAGACTGTTGTATGTCCGCTGTGCTGATGCCCCATACAGAGCACACATATACATCTCCAGTCATTATATTAGTCAGTCATAAATCTCCAGTGCTTTATGATGTTGAGAGCAGATCTGCTGCTGTAGATTTGGAGAAGCATTTACCAGCTTGTGCTTTTTGAAAGCTTCAGACTCATAATGAGGCCGAATGTGAGTTTGAGCGTAAGAAGCCATGCAAAACAAAGAAGGCTTGATGGCTTTTACTTTTCTTCCTTTACAAACATCACACTGCACATCTCTAGGCCCAGCTTCTGGAGATTCCTGCTTCATTCCATCTACAATTTCAGCCAAAACTGTGTTTTTACTGAGCGATGGTCTTTGGTTGAATGTCGTCCTGCACGCAGGGCAGCTGTATACTCCCCTGTAAGATTCCTGATCCCAGAACCTCTTAATACATCTCATGCAGAAACTGTGTACACAAGATGTAGTCACTGGTCCTTAAAAAGATTCAGACAGACCGGACAGTTTAAGGCATTTTGAGTATCGAAAAACGATTCTGCCATTTTGGTGTCTTTAAATCCAGTGCAAGATTCACTGCAGAATAACAGGGTAAAAACTTAAAGTCCGTTATGTAGTAAGAGTAGGGAGTGGCATGCACAGGGCCGTCCTTTGGGTGGTGCAATTGGTGCGGTCGCACCGAGCCCCGCGGCTAACGGACCGGCTAACAAACCTAAAATTGTTGTGAGTTAATGATTGATTGGTTATTGATCCACCTAGTGGTGAAATTTGTCAATATATGGTGCAGCTCATCCATACATATAATGTAGGTCAATTTAGTCAATATGAGTCCAATTTTTGTTTGATAATAATTCACAACACAGATTTAGGTTTATAAATTCCCTCACAGACTCAATCCTATAGATACAAACTTTACAAAAATATGTTAGACAGGAAAATAATCTCACAGGAGATATGCACCTTGAGTTATGCTGTAAACACCCATAATGACACGTCAGTCAAGTATCTGTCATGCGAGTCACACCTTCAGTTGGGTCAAAATGCTCCTTGCTGCTACCAGGAAGGACAGTATCATTCCTTTACTGGCTTTCAGTTCAATACAAAATCCATTTTATAATTTAAATGCATTCTCCAAGATTGTTTTTGTAATGTAACATTTGTCTGATTAACAGGTACATGTTATGGTTGAGTACATTTCAACATGACGTGACTTCTGCTTGTGTGTCTCCGCTTACAATAAATAGAGATATAAAACACATTATCTGTGTTATCTGCTGTGTTAGTCAGTCATTCCTTGTAGTAGTACAAAAGAAGCGACGATTTCATACTTCATATTTGAATTCAGTGTGATTCTATAACAAACTTTTTAAATCGGTGTTTGAATAAACATTTGAGCACAGAAAGGTTAATAAATTATGTTGATGAGCTGTTGGTTCCATTCACTGATGGCTGGTTTAAGGTCATTTAATCCTTCCCTGTTGGTCCCCAGTTAGAGGGTAAATGTCACAAAGCTGCTAAGGAAATTCTTTCTGGGACCCAATTTAAATGGTTTCAATAACAACTTTTTTTTTTTTTTTTTAACTCATTGGTCTTTTCTCATTATCTGTAAAGAACACGTACATGGTGTTTGGCACTGGACCCAAAGGCAAAGTGTGACTTATGTCAAGTACAAGCAATCTGCCTGAGGAGAGATTCTCTGTGCCATAAAGATTGATTGTTGTGAGCTTCCTGATATCCTTACCTGGATGAGATTTCATGTCATTCATAGTTTAATTTTTATGGGGAAAATACCTTCTAAGTTGATTTGTTTTCACCTACAGACAGAAATATCCACCTTTGTACCTTTAGGTCCAGTACCTGTAAAATGTGCTCTTTTCTTCACATATTCTTCACAGATAATGATGCAAAGTCAATGAGTCTCACAATGAACATTTATTATATAACTTTTCTTTAACATTGGAAAGGAGTCCCACAGATCTGAACACAAAACACACATTTGACTCAGAAGCTTCTGTTAGTACCTTAACAATGTGGAAACAATGAGTAATGTGGTCAACAAACCTGGATATACCTGCAGAAACTAATCTAATTGTGTAGTAGATGTTTGGTTAAATGGTTACTAGTGAAGAAATTATGGATCAAGATTTGGATACTACTTCAATACTACACAAAAAAAAAAGTGGTGTAGGATTGTAGGATATACATTGTTTCAAAGCAGCTTTACACAAAATCATTAGTTGCATTTGGCATATTAGAGGTGGTTGTTTTTAAAATCTAAACATTTAGCAGATTTTGCACCCAACTGCATATATTCCCTCTACGGAGCATTAGACTGAAGAACCTAGTCCTCTGAGTGTACAGGCAAGGTGGCATCACATATCATCCACTAGATGGCAGCACAGGCCAGGTTTAGCAGTTCGACTCTTTCATTTCCTGTGCACCTCTTTAACATTACACAGGCCTTATGCACCACACATGACCTCTTTTATGAATACAAATCACCAGTAAATGACACATTTAGTGCCTGACTCAAGTTCCCACAACTCTGGGTTGCCAGATTTTGATACTAAATCATACTCATAAAGAGTAGAGTTCACATGGGAGATCAGAACATTCAGTATACAGTAGCATCCATGCAACTTTAAACTACAAATCAGCTACTTTCTCAGTTATTGATTAAATAACTACAGATGTCTGTAAGTTAGACCTGACAACAAGGCACATTTCTTCTTCTCCAGGAGCAGCAGGACGAATGAGCTGCTTGACTGACTGTACGGCATCCAGATCTGCTTCATCCATATCAAAACAGAGCCGTTCAGGATAGACGTGGCGCCGTGTTCACACTATCAGCATGCAGATCTATCACGACACCTCCTGTTGTGTGCTTTATCTTTGAATCAGTGTGAGGCTGAACGGCTAACCCCTGACAGCATGAATGCATATTTACGCATTTACACTGATTCACAACACCGAGCAACATCACAAAATAACCCCAACTCTGATGCCCCCTTTCCCTCATAGATATGCTCAATTCATAAGGAAGCATTCAGTGTATGTAATTACATGCTGTATGAGAACAAATGTCTCAAAGATATAGTACAAGATCTCTAATGTACCTTTTAGCCAAGTTTTGTGTGTAAAACTTCATCATCGGTCTCTTATGCTGACCACCATTTAATTGATAAAAAAATACAGTGAAACAAGTAAAATTGTGAAATATTATTACAATTTAAAATAACAGTGTTATAGTTAAATATATATATCAAAATATAATTTATTTGTGTGATGCAAAGCTGAATTTTCAGCATCATTACTCCAGTCTTTAGTGTCACATGATCCTTCAGAAATCATTCTAATATGCTGATTTGCTGCTCAAGAAACATTCATTATTATTATGACAGTTGAGAAAACAGTTGTGCTGCTTAATATTTTTGTGGAAATTCTGATTTATTTTTTCTTCCTTTGTTAAACAGAAGGTTCAAAAGAACATAATTTAATTGAAACGTCTTTATTTTCATAAAGTCTACTGATCCCAAACTTTAGTTTTAACATACTAGATCACAATTTTAAATATTAAATCATATCGTTTAGTTATCCTTTAGAGTGTATGTTGTCATTTTGGTCACTTCTAATATGAAAAA